CGCTTATTGGTTGCTAACGATTATTTTGATCACCAAAAGTAAGTGTTTTTTGTGTTCTGGTTCTTTTTTTTCAGTCTACCACACACACGTCTCCCTAGTAGCAGAAGTACTTTCAGGTTAGGTGCGAAGGGCTTCCTCTCATACCTTACTCCTGGACTTAAAATTTACTACACATAGTCCGTAGATAACTGTAACAGTAGACAGATAAGCAAAGGTGTCTGCCTGAAAATTAGGTCGGAGGAGATTCCATGTTAATAGTACTGTGATAAGCCCATACAGATAAAAAGGATCATGAGATAGTGAAGAAGATTTATAGCTCGGTTAAATGATTTTGGTGGAGTTTTGTTCTTTGATCTGGATGGTTTGGTCGTGTAGTTAACACCGTTCTTCTGAACGGCATCAACAGCACAAGCTTCACAAAAGCTTACCTGAAGTTTGTCCTGATGATGTCGCTCAAAAGAACGATGAATGCTTCACGACCAAACCACCCAGCTTAGAGAACAGAACTCCATCGAAATCGATCAAATGGAGTTTTGAAAAGTTGAGGGAAAAGCGCTAGTGAGAAGCATTGAGGGATAAGTGGAAAACCGTAGACGAATAACAACATTCTGAAATTATTCAGATCTAACACTTAATTTCCTGAAGGAATTTCGGCAGAAACGCCTACTGCATCACAAATGCAGTTTTGGTTTTACAAGTGGTATCAATTTCTAGTAAAACCGGTAAAAATGCTCTCACCCACTGGAATGAATTTGGGCTCAAAGTGACGCTTCAAACTGTGAGTGAAATCATTCTATCAATCAACTGGTTTGTGATAAATACATTTTCCGTTGTATCCCAACTTCGTGACTCAAAATAAGTCGCTTCTCCACAGTAAATAAATAACCAAACTAAATTACTACAAGTTTAAATATTATCTAACTTTCTACCCAATGCTGAGTTTATCCAAAGCTGCCAAGTCTTACCTTGGGGATGGTACCTACAACTGGTTTGCAGGCAGTAGGCGATCGTTCGAAATCGCTTGACTTCTAATTGATTAATAAGGTATTTGTATATCACGGGTTAGACCTGGTGTCTATGATTTGCAGTAATAAATGAGGAAAAACCGAAGTTTGCGACTCAACGAACGACAAATGCACAGACCACCGTTTCTTTTGGAACGATTCCGGGAGGTTCAGTCTCTAATAAATAGATGAGGGCTTCTAATCGAACTTATTAGAGACCCTGCCAGAACAAGTTGGATGCGATCAAAGCAAACATGAAGAGTTTTCAAAGAAAGCAAAGGGTTTCTCTTAGCCACAGAATTTCGGCAGCATTTACAGGGTTTTCCACACTGTCACGTCGTTATTTATACCGGGTCAACAAAATTGTTCTGCTGTGAGGTTAATGGTAGCTCGAACACCTGGGAACAATGTTCTGAAGATATTGAGACGATGTTTTAGCGCTATTGGTTGATATCTACCAGTTGATATGATGGTAAAGTTTCCTAACATGTTCCCACATGTTAAACATGCAGTCCGAGGATTATTGACAACTCATCAGTATCTCATTTTTGAGGCTGGGTAAGTTGAGGTCGGCTGATTCCCTGGAAACTGTTCGAGGAATTCACGCAACACAAGAAGTCGACAGCAGCGTCGTTCGCCAAAGAAGCATTTTGTATGTCCGAAGCATACTGTGAAATGTAATTTAGATGTTTTGACACCCGAGGAAAGCACTTTTCTGAAGATAAATCTCCGGAAGCCGTCAAGAGTTTATTTTCAATGAAACGGGTGAATTTGTAAGATATAGGTTTCGGATTGGTATCAGTGCATTATATATGCAACCAGGATTATAGAGTAACCTAACACTTTGGACATCAAAATGAAGATTATGCATGGTAGGCTATTCGGTCAATGTTGACTGATTTTTTCATATTTACAGCAAGAACAGACAGGCATTGCTGACGTTTGCAAAGGTTCATGGTAATATTTTATCCTCAATAAATTAAGTCGCATGAGACATGCCAATTAGCAGTGTAGATCAAATTGTTACAAATGCCATTTAATTTATTAAGTTCAACTCCTCTATCCATTTACTTTGGTGGTCTTCGTGCAGAATCAGGCTGACGAAATATTAATGCTAAATAGTCGATTGTTGAATTCAGGGTGAATTGCGCGGCCTAAGAATGAAGCGCCATATGTGCTCTGCTTAACCAGGCTGCACGTATGGTAGCAATACTTCATGCGACTTTCACTACACGAAAGAGACGGGAGCTTCCATATATTTTGGTGTTTATTTGTTACCAATCTCCAAGTAGCTTCTGTAATGAGATTTATTGTAGAAGTGGTCTACATCAAAAGCATGAAGTAAGGTATAATTTCGAGTCATGCTTTGGTTGTATAAGTTGGATATTATATTACGACACTAGGTTCAACGTTCAAAGACGCGACATTCAGAGCATTGTTTCTTTTATTTTGATTATTCGCTTCAAATTGACAGTTGTGTTAACCAAAGTTGATGCCAATACTGACAGTTTTTAAGGGAAGACCAGTTTTGTCTCCGTCTGTCTTGGATTTCACGATTTGAGTGTACGATGCAGTACTTTTGTAGTGAACAGTATGTTTGGAGAACTCTATTGTTGAACCTAGCCACCGCCATACCAAGTTACTTTGCGTGACAAGCTCGTAGGGTGACCTAAATGTACCGCAATAGTTCAGTCTTGATCATTTCATCTTAAGCTCATTTTGTTTTAAAATCTCTTACCAACGTGATTCGATACATTGACTATCATCCACGCAAAGCAACACTAATCTGTTCATCAACTATACATTCAGTTCACTGAATACACCTAGTTTATGAAATCCACAGACTTCATTGATAATTCTTGAGATTTTAAAGGAAAAAATTGTATACCTTCTTTTGAATTGTATTCCACTTTCTGTGGCTTCTGGAGCGGTTGTTTTTTAGCATCCCATGTTATGCAAAACTAATCAGAGCATCAAGTTATGTATTTTGCGACCAATGATAAGCCTACTACATTCTGACTAACTTGCATGACCATACCTTTGGTTTCTTCAATATATAAAGTTTTCCACCTAATATGGCACGTGATTTCGCAGCGTTTCTTGATTGGGCATACCAGTGACCTCACAACAGAACCAAGTGAACTAAATGTCTAAACATCAAGTTGCAAAGCTAACGTTAGTCAACATCGTCTCGAAGATTGCTCGCCTTTACTTGAAATGACTTTTAACATTATGGTACGTTCGTACCCTGCGCTATTAAAGGACATGTCAGACTTTAGTATTAAAATCCATACTCTGATTTCTGTCCAACTAACTAAAGTAAAAGAATTAGTTTGCTAATTGAAGCTCTAATGAAATCAACCTCAGCATCATCGATAAAAAAATAGAACTTGTCATCGATTATAACGATAATATATTCCTGACAGCGAAAGTGGGCGCCACTTTTAAACCTTACTTACTTACTTCTGTTACACCCAACAAGCATAGGCCGCTGACCAGCTTTCTCCAACCCACTGTGTCCCGAGCCTTCCTTTCTAGTTCATTCTTCTCATGTTTGTCTCCATTACTCAGCGTAATGAGTTCTTTGGTCTTCTTCTTATCCTTTTGACTTGAGGATTCCATGTGAGGGCTGGTCTTGTGACATAGTTGGGTGCTTTCCTCAATGTGTCCTACCCACTTTCAGAGCCTATTCCTGATTTCTTCCTCCCCTGGGATCTGGTTTGTTCTCTCCCACAATAGGTTATTGCTAATATTGTCCGGCCAACGGACCCGATATATTCTGTGTAGACAGCCGTTAATAAACACCTGTATCTTCTGAATGATGGCTTTCGTAGTTCTCCAGGTTTCCGCCCCATACAGTAGAACTGTCTTGACATGTGTATTGAAAATTCTGACCTAGGTGTTGGTTGATAGCCCGTATGGTTATCAGTTACTGGTAACTACGTATATTTAAATATCAAACTAACTCTTTATCATCACAAACGTACTTTGAATTTCAGACAATAAATAAACAATCCTATATGTACATTTAATATCTTTTTCGCGCTAACGAGAACTCTTATTTCCTCTCTGAAACATTCCGTGACACAACCACATATACTTAACGTTAGCATTCAATTTGTAGCTAATAAACTAAAGAAATCTGTCATTTACTCCATTTATTTACTGCATCTCAATCGGTATCATGATGATCCTATTACTGCTTCTCTAAAGTACTAAACTACATACGGGGATTAGTGACATTTGATTTCAAATGAATTACTCAACAATACCCATACACTATAGATTATACGTCCTGGACCCGATTGTTGTTGCTACCATGATGTGGTGGTTGGGCTTGCATATCATAATGAACCAATCGAGCTATACTGGCTAGAACAATCGTTTCTAAGGTCCTACCATTCCAGACAGGCCGATTGAAGAGTGGTAAGGATAAAAGCAGCAAACCCAAGGTCTGAGGGCGAAGTCGAACTATTGGCTGTACAGAGGTGTGACAGCAGTAAGGTGTTTCTTTCAGACAACCATAATAACAGTGATGCTGCTTCCCCACCAGAAAGGTGGAGTTAGAACAGGTAGACCCTAATAAAGCATATCTTGCCTTATCCCATGTATTTCTGTCTCCGGCAGCAAGGTCCCAACAAGTACGGTGCTAACGTGAAAATTACTCAAAAACAGTCGTGCGTGACCGGCCTCAAGCAGTTGTCCCTTAGACACTGCGGTCACGCTCTTAGGTCACTAAGACCACCTTTAATGCAATTTCTTTTTCAGGTACCTCCAGAAAAACCCTTCAAGTGTGAGCAATCGAAGTGATAACCGCCTTCATAATTCTAACAGCACTTAAGACATATAAAGGATGTTACCTACTGTTTATGTAGTAAAAAAAGAATCAAGAAGATAGAAAAAACATCAAAAATTAAATCAACAATTAATTTAATTCAATTCATTAATTGTTTTTTAACAATTATCTAAATAAAATTTAAAGAAAAAATTAACATGTGATCATTAGGCTTAAAAGTTCAAAATAGGAAATTGTATACAATATAGTGAATAAAATAACTTTTACCTTTAAGAGTTCATTATAATACAACTAGATAATACATTATTTTCATATGATAACTATCAAATCCAACTTTTTTATTTATTTAGATATACAAGCTTTACGATAAAGTTCTCTAAATGTTTTCAGATCATTAAATAGTTCATCAGCAGTATATTTTGCTTGATCTAAAGCAAGATAATTAGCAACCTATTATCAACAGAAGCATTAAAAAGAAGAGAAAAAAAGAAATGTAAATATATAAATAACATAAAAATATTGTTCCATTCACTATAAATAAGATTATGGAAACTAGAGTATGCTAAGAGATGGTAGAATCATATTTTTTTTTGTTTTTTTTAGGAATCAGTCATGAGCATTGTTGCATTTTAAACATTATCAAACAGTATCTACTAAATTTGAACGAATAGTTTCACAATATTTGGGCGCCGAGTTAATGTGAGTCATTAAAGAGGAATAATATATATTTGTAAAATCTTAGCGAAATAATTTGAAGTAATTCCAATGTTTCGCCTGACAATCTGGTCCAAGCTTTTTCAAGGAAAATATAATCAAACAACAAAATTATCGAATACAAATAGGTACATGGTTCTTCGGTTTACTGTATACTGAATAAGTCATCTAATCAACGTGAAGGATTTTATAAATAGGTATTTGCATTAATGTGTAAGAGACATGTTTATATGAAAATAATAAAGGTCAACCAAATAAAAGTTCAATTAAAAAATAATCAAGGGAAGAGAAAGAATAAGGAATTGTCGTGTTATCCTAGGCCATAGAATGACTTAAGGATTACAAGGCAAATTCAAGGTTAAGACAAACTTGTTATTGTACACATAAGGACAAAGCATGTGATATGAAACGAAAAAGTGTTAAGATAACAGAATGTGTGTATACATAAGTGATGTGATGACATTTTGACAGCATTTTGTAATAAAACCATAAAATAAAGTTTCGATATTGTATTCACTCAATTCATCCGTAAATTAATCACACTATAATATTGAACGCTTATGAAAACATACTACTGATAAATACGAGCAAAGGTCTGGTGAACAGTAAACTATTCGTTCTTACTACAAGAATGTGATACGAAAAAGATAATGCATAAAATGAGAAAGAAACAGTTTATTAATATAAAAACGATACAACTGAAAGTGATCTGAAATAGAACAGTTTCATTCAATCAAAACTGTTAAAACAAACAAATTACTACTTTTATCACTATTTGCTCATAGCTTGTTTTTGCTTTTACAACCTGAAGAAAGTATCACACAATTACATCGACGAAATATCACTTACTTAAAAGAACCAAAAGAGCGATGAAATTTATTTTCATCAGGGATGTACACTAATATTTATATGAATGATTTATAACAATGAAATAATACTCATAGAGTAGCTGCATTACGTAACTTGAGTGAATACAAGAAAATGGTATTCTTTAGTCAATCTGTTCTTAGATAAATAAGCTATCCAGAATGATAAGATCTACTATTTCCATATTTTATTCTGAATTTACACATAAAGATGAAGTCATCTGAACGTTAAATAACCTGGTAGTTCAATACTGCTACTACTAATAATAAAAATAATAATAGCTATATTCACTAACGTAAATTCTATTACTGCAAGTAGATACCAATTGTTAAAAGATTTATTTATGAAATACATTTAAATAGAAACTACTCAAAATATTTTAGAAATATTTCCAAAAGCCGGAATGTACAACTCATCTTAAAATACGGATAGCTGAATGAAAAACAAATCATATTGTACCATGAGTTGAAGGTAATGCTAATGTTAACTCACCCATACTATGCTAATGAAAACCATCGAGTGGACTGATGATGTGTAGTAATCCTTATTTGAGAAACAGTAGACTAATGCATACGTATTCCTTTACTAATTCATGATTTTTCAAAGTGAAAATAAATAAGATCCGTTTAAATGACAGAGTTACAGTAATTCAGTTCGTTAATACGTTTCAACGCAAGTTCGAAGTTATGGTGAAATGTAACAGTTCTTATGAACATAATGTTATTAAGTCGGAAGCACACGCAAGTAAATGTCTAATAGATTGAGAAAAGCATTCCGTGTTCTAACATTTTTGTATGGAACGAATACTATAAATAGTTTAAACCGGTTGTTTTATAATAAAATCACCCTAATAGTTTGAACAGTGATGAAATGTAAACACAATCGCTAGCAAATTTATTAAAGCTAACTTATTAAGTATAATTTTCAGGGTAAAATGGTCAAAATGTGAATCATACAAATAAATACCTCGTTATATCTTTCGGTAAATGTTTTGTGTAATTCACTCAGTAACTTTAATTCTTGCATTGCATGAGCTAAAAATTGTCCCACCACTAAACCAAAACATAAATTTGCTTTAAAAGCATCTGATTTAGGATCTGAATTAGATTTGATAACCCATTCCGTGTTGTTTGAATTTGCGACTCCACCAACTCCTCTTAAATCTATTTCTAAACGAGCAACATCACGTTTCGTTTCGACCAGTTTCTCTTCAATTGTTTTTGCGCAGTATAAACTTTGTGCAGCATCTAATGTAGGCATTTCATCAGACCATGAATGAGCTTCCTCAGTAAAACTATAAGATATCAAAGGAAGTTGAATATTTATGTATCCATGTGTCTTACAATCATTTAAAAATTCTATAAAAATGTGCCTACTTTATACATCTCTATATCAATTTTGTTAAAACTTTACTGCCAAGTTACTTACAATAAATATGAAGTACGATGAGAAGTAAGAAATTCTGACATAATACTATTTCACTCTTCAAATATCCATCGGACCAAAAACATATCAATAATTAGGTATCTTTATAAATTAATAAAACTCGATCTCCACTAGTAGACAAGCATGAAATTAGTTGATCACTGAGTGGTAACCGATATGAATATCTTAGTCCTTCAAGATTAGAGGTTCGCCTTGCCAACTAATAAGAGATCTAGGTCTAGGGTGCCCTCCTGACTGCCTTCCGTCCCCGAACATCGAAAAACATTAAGAAAGAGGAGGTATTAGGCAGTTGTTTCATTCTAACAAAAGATTTGCTGGCACAATTTATACTAAAGTTTTATTGTTTTCCCATCGATACTCGTTTATTATTAAAAAGTTGAAAAAACGTAAGTTCATCAGCTTGAAATTTTTTCGCCACAGCTCTATTACTAAATTTAAGCCTTAACTATTGAAGTCTACGACTATAACCGTATGATCATAATGATGATGGACAAAACTTTCCTACTTATTCATGACATATATATATATATATTCGGATTTAGAAAAATAAAAAAATTGAAGTGACTCAGTTGTAAACTAAAATACAATTTTCAAAATAATGTTTGTCAGCATATTCCTTACTTGAGTTCCATTAATTCTACTAAATAATGAATTAAATTCCTTTGGTTAGTTATATCACGAGTATCAGCCAGTCGGACTAGATTTCTAACTTCAAAGCCAAGAAAAGGTTTACGTTTTATGAATCCATGTGAAGCTGTTAGGCCTGAGTGAGCAGATAGTAACTGACTAGATTCATTAACTGAGCATTGTCTAGTGGCATTTAAAGCATTAATCAAAGCTAGCGCACATGAAAGGACATGACGGAAGGAATTAGAATTTCTTATCTCGAGAAGACATTTACATGCAGATGAAAGTGCCTGCTTTAATTGATCAACAGTTGTATCAAATTGGAGAAGCATACGTAAAGCATGGAGATGAGCAGGTAGTCGATGACGAAGTTGAGATATCATGTAAAGGAGTTTCTCTGCTTCAATGAGATTCTACAAAAGGAAAATAAAGTCATATTTAAAAGTTTGATTGGTTAACAGAAGTTGTATGACGCATAATTAAACTACATCATTCAATGTCTCAGAAAGGATTGTTAGTATAAGTTAAATCTATCCACTAAATACAAATATATACATCTTTCCGATCATTTTATTATGATTGTCTATGTAATGTAAGTACATTAATCTCTTACCGAGGTTTCCAACTGACATTCAGACAGTTTTAGTATGATGTCCATCTGGGGTGTAAAGTTGATTAGGGTATCTAACAAAGTTTCAGGTATCGACTGAAACGAGGTTGTACTAGTCAAGAAACTCGATTTATCTTCACTTTTATGTTTTGTATTCTCATTTGGAAAGGATTTGCTGCGACGAAGGTTAACTGTTGTCTTTAGTTCAATAATAGATCGAGCTACGTCCTCTGGATTCAAATGCGCTGATGCCATAGCTATGGCTATCGCCTGAGCTGCTTTCACTGGCAATAGATCCAATGTTTGAGTACGAGAGGCAAGACTCTGAGATCCGAAACGTATTGATCTCCTTATAGACGTGTTTGCATTCGAATGTATTGATAATCGTGGGTTTTGGCTAGTTTTTGAACCTGGGGTATTGAATAAAGATGTTACAGTATTCCCACAGTCTATTTCCAATTTATCTGATGACTAAAAATAGTCAGAAAAAACAGAAGCATAATCAAAATAAACAAGAGCTTTCAAACACTACGTGGAAAAATATCCACTGGATATAAATGTAGTGAAAACTTTACATGATATAATTTAGTAGTGTTCATTAGTACATTTACCTATCTAACGAGCATACCAAACATTCTTATATATGTAGATACATTATAAATGAAGTTTAATTCAAAGTATATTTACATGCTGATTGAGTAAACTACTTAAGTAATCGAATATCAAGAAATAGTAATAAGTTAGAGAAAAGAAACTTTCCTACTTGAGAGAAAACTTAGAAAAATGGCTTTTGCATAACGAGTATCTAAATGAGTCTAAAATGTTTTTGCTGGACCACGAATATTTTGTCTCCTCAAGATGATGATCTTTTGTGGATGATTATTACTGACGGCAGGCCTTGAAAGGTTAGTTTGGTCAACTTCATTTTGCTAACAAATAATTTTAATTTCAATGGCATTTCAAGCAAATATCCTTTAATACTGAACTTAATATATTCTTGAAAGTCTTTAGCATCGCAGTTCAGGAATTGGATTCTGTCGTACTTGCGACTGGTCGATTAGCAACTTCACTAAGATTCAAATCCCACACAAATATATGATCTTTATAGAGCTAACGGAAGTTACATGTAGTAAACAAATCCTGACATAAATGAATTACAGTCTTAAGTTCACATAAACCAATTGAACAACTCATCAAAAGAACACTATTTACACGGTACTTTCAAACTTTATCGATGGAATGGTTTGGCGAGAAAAAAATTAAAAAAGAATGAAAAATTAATCTTAACACTAACCATTGCTTTATTTCCTTTGATCCGAAATCTTCTATGAAGTTGACGGACGAATTCTTCACTCAATAAATCACTATCATCAATAAATACCCATACAGAATTTTCTTTCAAACGAGATTTGCTCAACTATTGAAAAGTAATAAATGTTTACATTATTATTTTTTGTAAAAAAAACCCATAAATATTATACTGAAATTATATTGTTCAGTTTGACAATGATATAAATCAAAGTGAAGAATTCATCACTTGGAAACATTTATAAATATTTTTATGGTAGAAATCATTCTCTTTTGGTTTGGTGCTTATTTATTATAAACATGTATCACCTAAACAAGTGTGTTTATGTTGATGATATGAATTAATATGAAGCTTAATGTATTCAAAAGTTGAATGTGATTCTTCGGAAAGTAGTAAAAATGTGATTATTATTTATATCAATAGAAAATATAGCTTTATGAATATAAAGTCTGGTTCAAAAAGACCTTAAAAATACAAACTTTGAAGTATCATAACAAATTAGTGCTTAGTAGTTCATTTTTTGTTTTACTTTTCATGGAGTGTTATGAAAGTCACAGAGCAAGTACAGATTTATGCACCAGAATTGAAATATATCTAATGAACACAAATATGAGAATTTATGCGACTACAGAAGTCAAAATTGTAATATGGAGTTCCAGCTGGTGATCAAAAGGTTGAAATTCGCTTTTTAAAACACTGATACAATAATTTATTCATCCAAATATGAACTAATGGAACACACTAATGAATCAGACTATTTAGTCTTATCCTTTCAGTTAATCGGCTTTTACGGTCTTGAATTACTTTTAACGCTGTAGGAATTCGGAAAGTTTATGAAAGACTTTAGACCTACTGGAGATACACAGGCCTTCTTCAGCCTAAACGGAGCAGAAAACGTTCTTTTCGGCTTCATATTGTACGGCATTGGAGATTCTGGGAAATAAAACGAAAATTATCGTTAAAATAATGCCATAAACTGTTAAAATTATATATCAGTCATGAGGGCCAAAACCTTTGTAGTTTCTTAATTCTCAAACCATGAATAAATCGATCGTCATTTAAATTGGAAAGAAATCGAAGCAATAGTTACATCAATTATTGTAAGAAGGACCAAACATAGAGAATATGGTTTCATAAGAAGGAGGAAACTTTAATCAGCAAAGCACAGTCGACGGGATTTTTATGGAGTATAATTTAATTTCATATTGAGTAGAGGAATTGCAAAGTGAAATATACTGAGAGTAAGTGACATGAAAACATCTATCCGAAAACTCAGATATGTGAGATGGTGGAGATTTGTAGCTCAGGTGAATAATTTAGGTGTAGTTTCCTTGATTTTGTGAGTTGATGAGTTGTTGCTACTGTAGTTTGGAATTTTATCAGTGTGGATTGGACACCGACATACTTGAGTCCCCAGTTTTTTTGCGCCAGTACTGTTCCTTAGTACATCCAAGGATAATACCGCGAACAAATGTTATTCAACAGGACAAGGACACAGTGCACACACTTGCAGAGTAGAAAAATGAGGAAAAATATCTAAAGACTATCATTCAGAAGAACGACTACCCAATCAGCTTCAGCAAAATATATCAACCAAACGCATCAGCAGAAACAAAATAAAGTACAGAAACCAACAAATGGATCATCCTACAATTCATAAAAGACATATCAGTAATTGCAACGAGATTACTGAAGCCTTTTGGAATAGATGTAGCACACAACCAACAAAATCACTTCATTCAATCCTATACAAACCAGAGGACGAAATGATAAATGAAAAATCGAACATCATCTACAAAATAAGTTGTCCCAACTGCGAAAAACACTACATCGGAAAAAGTGGACGCTCTTTTCATCTTCGCCTGCATGAACATCAATTAGTATTCAAATGCCATGACATGTCTTTGCTTGTATCAATGCATGTAGACAACTGTGGACACATATTCGATTGGAAACAATGTTGAGATCTTAGATAGAGGCAATTCTAAAAACACCAGAGAATTTTTAGAAGCTTAGCACTCAGATCAATCAGTAATCAAAAAACACATTGAAGTCGGTCTGATTTGTCAACCAATACAAAATCGCGGACAAATACAAGACCAAAAACATCAATGGGAGATACAATCAAAATAAAGAAGTAATCAATGACAGTTTAAAAATGAACAATTACCAATCAAGATCAAGGTCGATAGGACAAGCTGTGAGACATATGTGGAGAAATTCAAACACTTCACTTCTACCTGAAGTTTGTGCTGATAACGTTGTTCAGAAGAACAATCAAAGCATCACGACCAAACCATCTAGCTCAGAAAATGGGACTAAATCTTGACCCAGAAATTTCAAAGCAGATAAAAGTCTGAACAATAATAATACTTTCTACGCATGTTACGAGTAATTAATCGACAGATATGAAACCAGTAGATGGATTGTGTATGGATCATGTATTCCTTTTACTGAAGAAAACCTACTAGAACCGTGTGATATTCTAAAGGAACCATGCTCGCAGTTATATTTTAACAAGAAAATATCATGAAAGATACTAGACGATATCCAGGCTTCAAATATTACATAAATGTTTACATCACATCCCACTGTGTTCGTACTCACACAAACATATGGATGTGTGATTTTGATATGTAATTAATGATGACTTAAATTGTTTTAAAATATTGTAGATTCAAACCGAATCCAAGTATCCGGTGAATGTAGGTGACGAATATTCATTAAAGGAAGTAAAAAGTTGACTAAAAACACCCTTTTTATGAATGACCAGGAGCGAGCAACCTAATTTTTCTCTTATACTTAACTTGGACTGACCTTTTTATTTCTCATATTAATATCTTAACAAGTTAATGTATGATAAGATTACTATTCAAAGCGTATTACGTTACATCATATAGATCAGGCGAACATTTTACTCCTCTTACGTCATCACACAGAGTCACAATATGAACAAATGAGTTAAACTGAATACGTATTTTGAAACGACCAAATTTGAGAATAAATGAAAAAAGTCAATACGAAAACAAGACAATCAACTTATAGGAATTGGTATTTAGAGAAACATAAATAGGACGTTGTAAACATTTGACATATTGCTGTCAGTGAAAGGATTACTGAATTTAGGTCAAAGTAGTTTGACAATACTTAAAGGACTAAAAAGTCCAACTTTTCAAAAAAGCATCAGAAAGAAGTAGCTGTACATGGTACAATTCAAAATATCTAATGCTATAAGATTAAAAAAACACCTTAAACTAATCTTTTCAAAAATAAATTGCTAATACTTAAATATCTAGGAACTTTTTGAATGACATACCGTACTACACTAGTGATCTAATTATGATTACTTTCTAAGGATAAGTAAATATAGTATTAAACGAGTTCAAAATCATTCACTTTCCAAAACGTTTCTGCACTGAAAAGCTATATCCATTATTACAAAAAAAGTTAGTCCTTTCTAATATTCTCGTCACTTTTGTAAAATTCTGCTAATTATACGAACTATAGTAACATACAGTCATAAGATAACATACTTTTCTGATGGTAAAGTATAATACTCTTTGAAACACAAAGTAGGTGTGAGTTGATTTTATGTCATGTTTTCATTTATTCTACTTTAAAACAAACATGGGATTACAAATTGAGATCCCAGGACCCAAACTTAAAACCGCAGATAAATGCAAATACGGAAAGACTATACATTGAAGGATTGATTACTTTCAAATATTTGTATACCACTACCATCACTACTACTACTATTACAAAAGTAGGCAGTATTATACTTAGGAGATGAATACTTTATGTTTATCCGTAGAACTTTGAAATACGAAATGCTCATTTGTTCACTGAAAAAAGTGAAAGTTTATCCTTAGTTCAACCTAAGTATCTTAGGTAGATAAGCTCTGAGAAAAATATACCAACACATTAAACTATACATTGTTGCCTTATACAAACCTGTACACCAGTAAATATATTAAATAACACTAACCAGGAATAGTGTGAGTCAAAGAACCTGAAGCTGATGAAACAGATGTGGGTGGCAGAAACATGGGTGGAGGTGGTGGTGGTATTTTGAAGCATCCGTTGTCGTAAGGTTGGTTAGATTTGTTTATTGGAGTTGTAAGCGGTTCAACCGCATGGTGTTTATTTGGAGTATTCACAAAACTTTCATTATTCTTTTCTACAACTTCAGGTCTTCCAAGAGAATTTGGAGAACTCAATAAATTTGTGACTTCTGAAACGTAACCAGAAGAGTACTGTGAAGATGGTGATGGCTCGCTAGTAACATCTTTCATTTCCTTGAAGTAAAAAAGAATAAACGTTGAAACTTCCAGAAACTAACTTTTAATGAATATGAACTTATCACCAAATATAAACCAGTGTTGTAAGCAAGTATTAAGTGGGTTATAATTTGTAGGAAGGAACCCAGAGATTTCTTAAAAAATAAGGTAGATTTGAATTTGAATATTTGTCATATAAGTGATAACATAGCAAAGATATTTTTAGTATAGTTGCAATTCCTATATATATATATATATATATATTCACGTATGCTATTTGTATTAGATGCTAATTTGATTACATGAAATTCAAGATTCAATAACTTCCATAGATTGATTCACTTTATGACATAATGTTAGTTGGATTTTAGTCAATATTACTACCAATTTTCAACTTGTTCAGTAAATCGTGCTTTAAACTTTTCTTGTATGGAAACATATTTCGTGTTCGTGCAAAATTACAAGTTAGATCATTCAGTATACTTTTATTTGAAAAGTAAACAAAGCGCCTCAGATTTCATGACAGTAAACGTTTTAAAACTAAATTTAAAATACTAGTTAACAATCGAAACCATTAATAAAGTAGGAAGAACAAACACAAAAGCAGATGACCATGAAAAATATTATTTACTTATTTGATTACGTATATTTATATTCAACGAATGCATTGCATTAAATCCATCAGAACTTGATTGTGCATGGTAATAACATTATTTAGTAATATTCAGAAATGAATATAACTGATACAATTAGATGTGAACACTTTCTAATGAATGTGCTTCTTGTAGTATTTTAATTTTGATTTGAATAATAAATATTTAACAATAGTAATATCATACCTCAGTTAATGTGGTCTGCTCTTCGACTAGTGATGTTTGTACACATTTTTCTGAAGTTCTACATCCTTTCATTCGATTAACCGGTTCTCTTTCCAGTTCACGTATTTCAAGTATTCGGAATTTATTCATTAACTCCATATTTACATCATATTGAGCTAGCTGAACAAAATATTACATTGTATACATAAGTGAAAAGCATTTATGATATTAAGATTATATATGAATTGTTTCTTTACCTGGTAGGGCCTGCAATCATATGCTGTACAATCATGAATATACTTTCCATAACAAAAAACAATAGGGATAATTCTAATAAATGTAGATTTCTGAATTATGAAACATTATAGTATGGTCTGTATTTTTATGATATTCAGTGGGTACTCATTAGACCATTTATACTTCAATTCAAGAAGCTTAAGAAAAGTTAACTAATTAATTGAGTTCCGTCCCATTCAATACTGCATACTGTAATTCATGAAAGTCAACTTAAATTAAATCTCTTTCTTGATTTAAATTTAGGCTTATACTAAAGAAATTCGAAACTTGCTGCATATCTTTACTACAAATTAAGTTTTTTACTTATTCTCTGTTATATTATATCTATCTAAATTACCGTATTCAAAACTACATTCATTTGTTAGAGTGTTGATCCATCCGTAGGAAAAACCTAAACAATCAAATTATATTATTTCATAAAACTATCTATTAATTGAAAGGGTTCTGATAGTCAGTACATTCAAAGCAATGAATAAAATGTCATGAATCTATGGACTTTTGTTTCACAAATAAAAACTATACTAAGCAATGTCAGTATGGTACTGGTATAATTGTTAAATTTGCAGTATACATTACCAGTTGACATTATAAATCATCAAAACATCATACAGTTCAGCAAACCAAGTACAGTTTCGTACTTTTGTGACTCAATATATGATTCCAGTTAGATCAGACGAATGATTGTTATCGAGTGATTTCTGTTGAAATATACAACCTGACTACCCTCGTATATAATCATCGACCTAACTCGCGTTAGTGAATAACGGAATTAAATAAATCCAATACGAGAATGAATTTCAAATACGTGTATTTCATACAATCATCGATCCAAACAGACGACCCCAGAAACGAAGCGAAGAGAAGGGAGCGAAGCGAAACAACATTCAGTGGAGAGGGCATGTGCGCCAACTAAATTTAGCCAAGCGTGCATCGACATTAATAGTTGAACAAAAATAAGTTACAGACACACAGTGATTAAGATAAGTAGTTATCACACATACGATCATAAAAAAAACAGTCAGGATTAATAAGTGAATAAGTCAAGGGTAAAAACACGGTATGAGAATAATGAATAAACTGATCTATCCAGAGGCTAGAATAACCTATGTGGGCTTGACATACTATGAGCTCCTACAGTACGACCAACTTCGATTTATACTCATTACATTTAAGGTATGTATACTATCTGTACAGTACAATTAAATTTCAACTTGTAAATAGGCTATACATCCTCTTACCTTGGTTTTTGGTGATATTTCTTGAGATCCAAATAAATATTTTGAATTTCGTACAAATTCAGTGGTGCACTTGCGGTTATACATACTACTATAAAACCGATTTTGAGATGTACGTTGAAAGTATGGATTACACTTCATAGAATTTGTCTCTTTGTATGACTCAGGCTTTTCAAAATCGAATCTATAAAATGAATGAACTTATTACGAAGTGAATATTTTAAAGTATCAGGAATTCCAAAAAGATAACTGAATACTTCTGTCTTGTTAGCGTTATGAAAAGTGTCAATGAAAAACACATTTGTGCATGAATGTACTTTAAATTATCTGGTAGAAATTATATAATCAAAAGTAAATTGTATTTGAATGAATGACAAGATTTTAGTAATAGGGAAGTTCAGTTAGTGTATATAGGAAATCAACATTAAATATAAGTAATCACAAAATAACTGTATTTTGTAACAAACGAATGAAAAAATGCACTAGTCTAAAGTTTCAAAGAAATTACGGGAAAAGTGGTAGGGTAGCATTTGAATTGGTTGAACTGATTTAAGTCTGCTAAAGTCTAAAGTATTATTTTTTATTTATTTATTTGAACACATAAATATTGGTACAAGAGGGCACCAAATATGTATGCGCCATACAAAACAATGAGAATTCGAAGAAAAAAAGAGAAGGTAAGGAGCGCAAAAAAAAAGAACGATAACGAACAGACTAGTGTAAGGTAGTGTAGTAATAATAATAATGGGGGGGGAACAGAAACGCACAATCAGAAGAGATCTTTCAGTTAAGGAAGAAGCAACCACTTTTTATTAAGAAAGTAAAAGAAGATTACAGCAGGATCGTCACTGGCTTCTATTCTGAGCCATATCTGATAACGTCTCTACTCGAGGACGTTTAGACAGAGCTGAGTTTCCACCATAGGCGAGTTGCTGTATAAGTCGAAAAATAAGGATAGACAGAGTGAGAATAAAAGAGAGTGAATGAATGACGTAGTAAATAATAATGAGGCTCGGGGTGTGGCCCCCTAAGAAAACCACCTGCTTCGGTCTGGGCACCGGGGTAGTATCACAGCCCACACACACACAAATATGGTGTGGCGCATATGTATTTGGTGCCCTCTTGTACCAATATGTATGTGGTGAAATAATAATAATAATAATAATAATAATAATAATAATAATAATAAATAATGATAACAATAACAATAATAGTAATAATAATAATGTGAATCGTTTGATTGTTAATCGAAACAAGAAAAGTATTTTCCATAATTATCGACAGTTCATCATATTTGTGTGTGGGCTGTGATACTGCCCGGGTGCCCAGACCGAGGCTAAAGTATTAACCTAGGTTTAAGTGAGGATATAATAATCTTACAAAGTGGTATCAACTAGGCCCATTCAAACAATCTTATTCTCTAGTTTTGTGTGAAAGGAAAACACTTGGAGCTAAAAAAGAAAACTAAATTTAAATAGAATTTATGTTAAAATATAACATCAGTCATTAATAGGGAAATTTTGAAACATATTCAGAAAATGCATTAGATTTTAGTCTTAATAAATATGATAGAATATAAGAAGAAACATTCAGTAGTGAAAATTATTGCCCATTATGTTAGATCATTTTCAACAATATAAAGAGTATTTATATTAAAATAGTTAATGTTATGGTTACTGTATTGATAAATGGAAAAGGATAATGTTCATTGCCTTTTTCTAGTATATAAATAAGGTGAATTCTGAGAAAATAACCAGATGGTATTAAAATAAGTCATTTTATTGTCTTTTGATTGTATACTATTATATTTGAAGTGAGATATTTTGCACTTTTATTGTTTACTAGTTTTATTCATTTTTAAATTTCTTGCATTTCAACTTAACTGATACCATCTATAACTTCTTTTTTTGATTATCTTCCAAACGTTTATGATATAGATATATTAGTGTTGTAAAAGTTGACTGGTAGGCTTATTCCTTGTGTTGTTGGGCGACTAATATTTATAATATACTCAAAGATTGATCAGTTCATAATCTCAATTAAAAAAAATTCAACAATATTCACAATTCTATAGTGATAATTATCATGTACTCGCTAGGGACTAGCTTCAAGATGAATTTCCTGGAGTTCTAATGAGAATTCGTGAGTAGTGGAGTTCATCCGTGTCTGTTGTAAGGAAGTAACTTATTGAAAACAATGGTGGATACGTCGCTCAGTTTCGTCTATTAGTTGAATTCAGACATTAACACCATTGAATGCCGGCTCAGTGGTCTAGAGGTTAAGCGTTTGTGTGGGAGACCGAAAACCTCGGGTTCGAGTCCTGTGTGTGGGATTGTGGATGCGCACTGCTAAGGAAATTAGCAGGCCGTTCATTGCTTCCAGATTTCCAATGGTGTTCTATTATTTATCAGTTCATTATCTCATTAAATGAAATATAGTTAGATAATGATAATCCTTTATTTAAAAATCATGGCTTAAATATTCTAAAGAGTTGATTAATACATTTTTCTAGATGTATGTAAATAGCATCACAAAAACGATATTGAACACTGATGAGGGGCTTCAAAATAACACTAAGAAACTGAAAAGTACCTCCTGATTTCCAACTATTTACCAGGTGTCTTCGTTTGTAGATCATCAACATAGATGATCTATATAGAATGACTGGAGACCTACTCGAGTTAGATGAAAATAATGTGACGAACCAAATAACTTCAAAGTTACACTTTATAATCAACATATTATTATTATTATGTCGCAGAATGTTATGAAGCAATTCACTATACGAATATAATCATTACACTTCTATAGAATAATTCATTTACTCCTCTTTTGTAAACATTAGTTGTTATGATAAAAATTATTGAAATTCAAAATAATGATTCACATTCGTTAAACTTCACAGAATAAAAAAACAAACAAACATATCACTTACTGTTTATTCTTTTCTTCCATTTCTTTAGTACATTTTAATGAATTCATATTATCTCTTGTTTTCCATTTCGATTCTCGGAATGATTTACTAAATCGTTTAATGAATTGATTAGGATTCTCATCATTATAAATATTTGTATTTGTTTTAGATTTTCGTATACTTAAATTAAATTTTCCAAATATATGTTTCCATTTTTTATATGTATCTATTGTAACCTCATTGAAGTCATGTTTATCCATTACAAGTTAACTAATAATTGAGTTGAATGAATTGAATAAATATGATTTCAAGTGATTATCACTCATCAAAAAATTGATTACATTTACAATTTAGACAAAAAAAAAGGGTAACCAACCAAACTAATTGGTTGTTGTTGTTGTTGTTGTTGATGTTATTCACATTCTCATTGATGATTACTAATTTGAATAGAACATAGTGAATAAAGTGAGTAAACAATATATATGTAGACTTATTATTGCGTAATGCAGAATTGTTTCATTCAGACTAATGACTAGATTGCATAATTTTTTTCTTTAAAGATAAATTTAGAAAAATGAAAACTTTAAAAATTTTATTTTAAAACTGAACTTACCAATGAATCATTTATAGTCACGAAAAGTTGATAATAAGGTGTTTGATGAATCAATTGAATGGAATTTTTGTTGTTGTTGGTGGTGGTGGTGAAAATTGGTGAGGTTTGTATTACTGTAAATGTTGTCCTAAACATTTAAAAAGAAATAAAATGTACGTACATATCTCAATAGTTGAGATCATGGGTCAATTGAAGCTAGACTACCATGGAATACCTGGAAGCATTGGATGGCCGTTTCGTCCTATTGTGGAACTCCTAAACAGTGCGCATCCACGATCCTGCCCCTCGCGAAATTCAAACCCAGCACCTATTGGTCTCGCGAGCCGGCTGGCATCCAATAGTGCTAGTGTCTAACTTCAACTAATCCATGAAATTGAGCGACACACCCACCATTGTCATCAGTGAGGTACCATCTCACAACATATGTTTATTATTTATAGGGACAAGTTATCGTTATGAAACATTTTTTTCAAGAAATGTGACTACAATTAAGTATAGACGAATTGAGACAATGATCATTTAGTATTAAATTAACAAAATTTGACTGCTATGACTCCAGTATTCATTAAGAATACCTATTTAACCAGATTCCTTGTTGAAATTAGTTCCAAGCGAAGAAAATATATAACAAAGTGAAATCAACTAGAGAACCAGTGTAAGACAAGGACCATTCAACAAATATTCAGTCCACTTTTTACTTATATCAGTTTATAAACAGGTTTGATTATTTTCAGGTCTCTTTGAGATCGCGGTGACATCCTAAGCTCTTGTTCTTTAATATTTAGAATTCTGTCCAAAAGGTCAGAATAAACCAGTGAATGGCATTCAAAACACCCTTGTTTCATTTCGCGATGGCAATATAAAACCGTCATATCATTTTTTTAAACTCTCATTCTCAACATCATTAAGTTATACATACTGCGGGAGCTGATTCATAAAAGGTAACGCTGGGACCAAAGACACTGTTTTAAGACGGTAACACTAAATGAATTATCGTCGTCACTATTTCTGAAACACATGGCTCTAGATCTCAAAATGCTTACATTGTATTATCGTTGACAGTAAACATTCCTTCTCAGGAACGGTTGTTCGAATAGAGTGAGTCATTGGTTAAAATCAACTTGGATAGACTAGGTTCCAGTAGTATGGAGCAGATATGTTTGGGTACACCGTGCAACCAAATGTCTACAAACAAAACAAATTCATGGTTGTACGAAACATTCCTTCATTTTCAGGTAAATATTACTGTCTTTCCTATGACTGGCAGTCACAGGACTAGCCAAATACATAGAATCTTTAAATACTTCTAACAGCCCACTATGAGAGGTGAGTTCAGGCACAGTCTTTTGGTGGCTTCGTATTTAAATGATGAGAAGTATGTATCATACACATGGATCGTAATCGAGCGCTTCGGGTAACAAACTTGAGTAATTATCACCACAAGCGTCATTCAAAACTGTCTAAAGAATGCAATCGCTTGAAACCTTAAGAAGAAATACTAATTTTGAGCTGGATATTTTAAAGCATGAAGATAGGTGGTTTTATCAGGTCCTTCTGCATGAGGTTTTGCAAGTAAGTTTCAATGTCATGCTTATATTCTCCGACACATTCTTTGCCCATAAGAAAATTTCATAGTATAGTTCTGTCTAACTAATCATAGTTATTCTGAATATCAAAAAATATAATTACTGTTCGTTTGACATCCTGAAGAATTTGTCAAGGGATGCAGATATGCTCAATAAACTTACAAGGTGGGCAAAAACCAACCTGGTTCATATAAGTAGGTCACTATTTTTGACAGTCTTCTCAGTATGATGGAGGACAATTTACGTTAGTGACAACGTTGTCTAATCTGAAATAAGTTTCGAATACCGTGTTCAGGGGTTTGGGATATTAACGGCAGTCTCTGAATAGATGAGTAAGAGAAAACATCTACAGAAGGATTTCATGTAGCAGCTATTAAATAACATAAGACTCTTTAGACAAGACATAAATTTCTACAGAGATTAGTTAGTAAGTTAAAAATTGAAGTGATGTAACCTCTAATCAGAGAATAAATAAATATTATCAGTATAGGTTTGCAGAGATTAAGCATTAACGTGGGACCGGAGGTCCTGTGTTCGAGTCCAACATGCAGGATCGAGGATACGCATTGCTGAGGAGTCCCATACAAAGATGAGGTGGCCGTCCTTTGCTTTCACGGTCTCAGTGGTGGTCTAAGATTGATCGGTTCATGATTTCAATTGAATAGTACTTTTCAAAACACACTTTACGTTTAAATTAGTGTGAAGATTATATAGAGCATATTTTCGATCTATATATTAGTTGTCCAAACTTTATATTTATTGTATGGGAGTGCAATCGATCAGTGTTTGAATTGATTCATTCTCACGCCATTGCACAAACTGGCGTTTATCTCAACTCAGTAATTAAATGGATAACGCGATAGCATTTAAAACGAACGGTACCGGAATAAATATCAACTATAGGATGCAGGTACATCCAATCCTAAGTAGTGCGTATTGCCCATCCTGTATTCCATTGCTAGTCATTATCCGTTTCTATTTAAAGTTTGTTCTTTCATGAGTATATTTGTTCACTATTCGTATTCATGTTATCGTTATAAATCATTTTGCACGATGAGTTTGTAGAATGGAATAAAAATATATCAAGATTTCTGTGACCAATTTGATTGTTGATTATATTAAGCTAAGTGATGTATTTCCATTAAAGAGATAAATTAGGTTATTTCTCTCTTCTATCTTTACAAGGTATTTGTTGGTTACGTTTATCGCAACATATGGTCTAAAGAAAATGTTAGCTCTTGTTTGAACTAATCATATTATGGTTAGAAGCTGTCAGAATTACTATCTTTTTAGTTGGATTTTTTCATCACTTTATTGATTTTGATTGTATTTCCTTTGAACACTGAGTTAGGTATTATTACTATTATTACCATTACTATTCTTTTTACTATTTAATTAATATAGTTCACTTTATAGGTGAATAAAATTAAAGGTCACGTACAGAACATTATTCATATAGTTATCGCTTGTAAGTATTATATTTATCTCTTATATTTAAGCTGTATAATGTATTTGCTTAGTTTGTATGTTAATAATAACACGTACTTTCCATTAAAAAACAATAATAAAACTATCTTTGTGTATAACTATTGTTTATGTTTAAAGAAATGTTGAGGCATTGAACCAATGGATAATCACTTGATCGGTTGTTATGACAACTTAAGTTACTGTTAAGTAAATTAGAATAACAAAAAAGAATATTATAACATTCATCTTCTATATAAAGTCATGTTGATAATGTTCTTTTAATATGAATTTTATATATTCTTAAATTAACAACTATTTAATTAACCAATTTTTCTCAAAAAATATGTCTGTCATTTTTACTACTGGGAAGAAGGCTTCAGAAATTGTAGGTAGTACAAGCTCTCCCTTACCAAAAGCACGAAGGGCTCAGTAAGTTGATTTGAACTTTTTCTCTGAGTTTAGATAAATCCATGTATTCGCTAGTATATATATTAGACAATTAACTTTCCTGATAACATAATTTACGTATAATCTTAATTATGAAAATCGATATGAATGTTATACATGATGAACTTGTTTACTACTTTTGTGTATCGAAAATTCACTTTGTTACTAGGTATGTATATGTAGTTTATTTAGATTACCATTCTGAAGGTATTTTGTCTAATTTTGAATTCTATTAAATATACTTTTCTCAGCAATCTATTGATGATTCATATTCGATTTAGTGTATTAAGTACTAAGGTACTAGATTGAAAGAATGCAGGCATTTAGTCTGCCTGGAGTCCCTTCGGGGGCTACTGCAGGTCCAAAGCCCGGACAAAGTAAGAGGGTTGGGCATGGGGTTAGCAACCCCATCCCGTAGAAAACTAACTCGCTAAAAAAACGTTAACCAGAAAATTTTTATGTCTAATACTAATTGTTAAAAATAAACCTTTTTTAGTTTGTTTTATTCATAAATTATATCCGAAGGGAATACATGATGAATACTTGTTTCAATGAAAGATTATAGTTGATTATTTAAATTCATGAATAGCAATTTCTTTAATTTTCTTCTTAATAATATACGATTAGTTAATGAAAAAAAGAATCATATTAGTCAGTTATCGAGAATATTCATATAACATCTACGACCTTTTTACTTCGGGATACTTTATTCACTCTTTGTACTTCTTTAATTGATCCAGAATTTCTTTTTAGTTGTGAGTGAATATTATTAATAATAGATTTGATATAATTAATATAACTCCAAAACATCATTGATGTTTTTCAGGATTTTTTATCAGTTGTTACTTCTTCAGAAAAAAAAATCCACCACAACCTGAACTATTTAATACACATTTGATAAAATGAAAACAATTAACAAATACTCTTATCAGTTATGAATTTTAAAATTCATTATGAGCTGAAACCAGTTGAAGAACTATTAAAAATCAGACAGCATTAAAATCTTGGATTGTGAATCAATGGTCATAAGGTTGAGGTCTATCGACGAGGCCTCATGTTCTTGAATTCGATCTCCTATGGAGTTGTAGATGCCCACTGCTGAAGAATCCTATAGTAAAAAGAAATAGCTTTTCAGTATTTTCTAGTCTTCATTGGTTGTCTATTTAATACTGTAATGTAAACTGTAAAAACATTAAGCTATGGTTCGTAAGCAGTTTAAACTTATAAACTATTCAGCATTGAATGATGAACAGCTCTTTCAAATCGTTTGTCTTATCACTACTATGGGTAAATTACTCAAAAAAAGTATACAATAGTAGTAAAAGATAATAGGAAATACCACATTAACCTAAAGCTATGTTTAATTCATCATGAGAATTGTCAAGAACAATCTAACTAGTTTATCAGCCAAATAGGTGATCAATATAGTTAAATCATTCTTCTTGTGTTCATAACAATATAGTATCTTCATCAGAAACCTCAAAACTCTTTCATTTGTAATATATCAACATTTCTGCTATTCAGGTGATTTAGTAGTACCATCTATGAATTTATGCTGAATGACAGGATTTGAAACATCGAAGTAAATTAAAATATACTATTATTTTGAATGTGGTATATTGACAATTATCAATCATACTTTATTAATACCAAGAAACTATAGATAATTACTTTCACTATCTCAATATCTAATTTTTGCTATGAATTGCTTAATGCTTATATTTGAACTGGTGAAACTTTGAGTTTTCTTGATGAGATAATAGTAACAGTAATCGATAATTTTTTTTATTCGATACATTCATAAAACCTTTTTTCTTAGATCATTGCTTTAAAACAAGTTTTATAATGACAACAACAACATCAACAAAATTATATAAACCATTAGTTAGTTACGTCAAATTGTTTATCTATCGATTTCCGATTTGTGAATATCGTTCATTGTACGTTTATATAATGAGAAATATAACGATTTTTTGATGGGTTGAATAGTTAGACATATATATATATATATAATCAAAGTTATTTTACAATGACTTTTTTCAGAGTCATTGTTATGTAATCATTTTCAAGTCAGGTATTTATTATTAAATAACTTAAGCCTGTTACCCCTCTTAAAGGGGCATAGGCTGCCTACTAGCATTCTCCATCCAACTATATCCTGAGCAATCCATTCCAGTTGATATTTATCCTTTTATGTCGGTTCAACGTGTTCCTTGGTCTTCTTCTTTTTCTTGTATTCCTTGCCTTCAGGATTCCAAGTTAGTGCTTGCCTCGAGATACAGTCTGACGATTTCCACAATGTATTTCCTATTCACCTCCAGAATCTTGCCCTAATTTCCTCTCCAGCTGAAAGCTGGTTTGTTCTCCCCTACAGTAGGTTGTTGCTGATGGTAGCTGGTCAACGGATCAAGATCATCTTGAGTAGATAGTTTTTTAATGAATACCTGTACTTTTTTTATGATGGTTTTAGTAGTTCTCCAAGTTGCAGCTCTGTACAATTGAACTATCCTGACTATTGTATTGAAGATTCTGACTTTGATGTTGACTGACAGTTGTTTCGAGTTCGATATGTTCTTCAACTGTAGAAATGATGCAATTACTTTGCCAATCACTGCCTTCATGTCTACATCTGATTCTCCTTGTTCATTGTTGATGCCGCCCAGATATGTGAGAGTTTCCATCTCTTCCAGAGTTTCTCCATCAAGCGTGATTGGGTTGGCATTCTCCCTGTTGTATTTTACTATCTTGCTCTTCCCCTTGTGTATTTTGAGGCCTACTGACATAGAGGCTGCTGCTTTACTGACTGTTTTCATCTACATTAGTTGATGTGTATTCGGCTAGGAATATTCAGACTAAATTAACAGATAAATATCAATAATAAATTTCTTTTCATCATAAGATCCAAAATTTATAAGTTTGAACTCAACGTAAGAGAGTATCACGTTCTCTATAATTGTGAGCAACACTTATTTAAAACTGTTACAAACACGAGCCATGCTGAACATAAGTGGATGAATATTGTTCAACTGAATTAAAAAAAACTTCAGATGATATTAAAGAAGTGGGACGCTGAAATGTGTCAAAGTTTAGGTTTCTATCTATTTGTAACACGCATAAATAATTTTTAAAACAAAGAAGTCCTATAGAATGAGACCTGCATTGGGGAACGCTATATACAGTACACGTAGTTTGTGAAGCGCATTTGGTTTAATGATAGTCTTTCACCTACTGAGATCAGTATGAGATGTAAATGAAAATTCATTTTTGTATTAATTGTTTAAATATTCTCACTAATGTTGAGGACTGCAATTGATCAGTTTTTTAAGTGGATAACGCGATAGAGTTTGAAGCGAACAGTACTGAATACGATTCCCGGAATAAACAACAACACTAGTATGCAGGTATATCCATCTGACAAGTCCCAAATAAGACGAAACGTTCTTCTTGTATTGCACTGTTGTTAACCATCCATCTTTGCTTATTATCATCACAATCAGTTTATTTAATTTTCCAACACATCAACTTTCAGATCGGTAAATGGTTCGTATCTTCAGCTTCTGACAAAATTAATTATCATCCAGAGAAAAAATAAATGTTTTATCCAAGATTCGTAACAGACACAATATTGATTCTCTCACTTCGTTCTGATAGCTTGTAGCGTCGGTTATTATGTTAAGCCCGTATACCTTATTCTAGCTTTCGGACAGCCCATTTTCTATCCAACCTACTTGAGTCACATTCTGACCTTGTTATTTTTTTTCGCGTATCAATCTTGACTGTTTTTATATAAGCGCGTAGGTGTGTGTACATTTCTTCTCCCATTACTCATCACATGTCTGCGACTTACTTTTGTGTAACTATAAATATTGATTAACGCTTGGTTAAATGGGAGTTGGCATACCAGCGATCTCCACTCTGAGTCGTTTCTCTTTTCTCTATTCCATTCCCTTTATATACAAAATATATGTATTCACAAGTCCATTCTCGTTATTCGACTTATTCGATTCCGTTATTGACTAACGCGATTTAAGTCAATGATATACGAGGATAGGCGATAACGAATATTCATTACGATCGAATTAATGTCAGAACCCGGGCCATTAAAGTGTAGAGCCCTATCGACAGCATCGTTCGATGTAAACAAGGACAAAATAACGGGCCCCACTGAAAGCTTATAGTAGTAAAAACCGAGCATAACTGAATGTAATAAGTTACAATAATTATTTATATTATCTAGTTTCTATACAACTTGATTATAACAAGAAATAGTATTTTCTTAGTCATTCAAAACACTTGAGATAATGTTACAGCTTGTAATCCATTTTTACATAAAAAGATATTTCTGATTTACCTAATTAAACTAAACATTCTTATTTTTATAGTTACTATCAAAACTAATTTATGAAAAATCACTTGAAACAATGTTGAAATGCACCGTAAGACGATACAAACGATATTTAATTGTGGTAGGGTATACAAGTTTACATTGGAAGTTGTAGCAGTAAAAAATGTTCCTGTCATGGAACTTTTCTAGTTTTAAACAAACAAATAATGAAAATAATTAAAACTTCATGCTATACTAATGGTACATTTCAGAAATAACCGACTCCATAAAGTAAAATTTCCATTGTAAATGGTTAGTTAATATTTCCCAACTTAATTCTGTGATTGAAATAATGAAAATGATATTCATTTATATGATTAGCTATTTGTTCTTATAGACAACTTGGTCGTACATAGTTTTCAAACCACTTTTGAGCTCCTTATGAATTCACTTCCTTAAAGTGACTTATTATTAAAAAGTGAGTTTTCCTCTATTTAGTATTCTTAATATCTGGTCGTTCTTCACGATAAGATCAAGTGTACATTTAGTAGTTCTTCACTTCTATATAACAGCAATAGTTTTCTACTAATCTGGGTTTTTTTTAGAAAGGATGTGTTAAATAAGTTAATGACTATAAAATAACTTTTCTTATTGAAAAGCCTATTTTAATTAGATTTTATCTTCATAATATTTCAATGAGAATGATCTTGGGAGATTGCTTTTAGTAAAATAAACCATGTTTGTAGATACTTTTCTTGAACATTCTTATTGCTGAAATACTATCCTCAGGTTTGAATACATTTAATGTTTGCATATCTGACCAAATATTTTCTAAAAAATTACTGAAAAGTAGAGTATCAATTGAATAGACATTTTAAGTCGTTAAGCTATAGCCTTTTGCTGAAGCACCAATAGCGTTACCTTCTTCCATATCACATAACTCCCACCAACACGGGAATATATGAGCATGTTAGTTTGAATGTATAAGAAAAACCTGATAATTCTTCAAAATTCATTATTTCAACTGATCTTTTTGTTAAATGTGAAGTATTAGTCTTTCCTTCAAAAGTGTTACTCGTTAAAAATTCTTTGGCTCCATCCATTTTGTGTATAGACATAATTAACAACTGATATTAATGATCGAGTTGATGCTTAACATTAGTTAATATTATTTTAATGATCTGTTACAATAATAACAACACTCAGCTATCACTTTTGTGAGTAGTTGAAGAAATCTACATAAAAATCTTATTGAAAAAGAACAACCAGATTTTTGGTATTTCTATAACCATCATATGTCTATCGTTTATCATGACAAATCAAAGGTGCCATTAAATCTCATACAGTTACACTCGTTTTTTATTCAGTAAAACACTAATAATCCATAAATTAGAATGATTATGTAAAAGAACGAGGATATATTTGACTTGATAATGAATAGCCTAGTTCCCGTTATCGATTCATGCATAAAGTTGTTCTCATAAAAAATTTATTTTGTTCCAATAGTCTGATGATTTAGAAATAAAGGAATAAAACAGATAGTCGTATTTATCTATTTGGTGACAATTAATATATTTCCTGTTTAATGTCATTTACATACGTTTAGCGCTCGTCTTGGAAAGAATATGTCAATGGGATATGAACCATCAGAAAATGTTATAGTATGGAATGTAGACTTGGGCTCGGATCATTTCAATTTGGCATACTGTAAGCATTTTATTTGATGAAATTTATAGTTCATAATGTTTATTTTTAAACTTCTGAATTACCAATTCAAGTATTTACTACTGAATTACATCTAAAATGAATTTATACTCTTTTGAACGAAGATAGATTAAATTGACTGCAAACCATTTAATTAAAAAAAATTAACACTAAGGTAGATAATTATCATGATTCATCAACATATTTTCTGGCAAATACAGTCAATGATAGTTCACCCATTCTATAGTTACTTTGACAATTCTCTTTATAAGCCTTCAGGTTGATTGATGAAGTTTCATCTTTAGTAGTAGTGAGATTTTATAAGAATTTAATGACAGTCATGTAGAATATTTTCGGAGTATGTTGCTTGGAGAAAGATATAAAGTATATCAATAGAAAGCTTAACACTATACTAGCTAAAATCTAAATTGAAGTTGAAATGAACAGCTTTTATAAAATAATATGTTCATTAACACAACCAAAATTCGACAGTTCTACTCCACAGGTTATTGTCAACCAGATTGACTTTTAAGGTATCTGTCAAAACAGTTACATCGAAAAAAAACAAGAGCCTGTCTTAGATTAGTTAAATTTGTTATGAAAGATCTGTTCAGAAGAAACAAATCGGTTTATGATTGCGATTTCTAAATATTTTGTTTACATGTGTCACCAAGCATATACTTTGAATTCATTCAAGGTTCGCAGTAAACAGCCAAGAGCTAGCCTTCTTAAATTGCCTGACGCTGCAATTATTAAATGACTGAAATATAAGTTACGTGTTCCGAACAGCCCTCAACCTTTTGTTGCTGTGGCAACAGAACTCTTGTTTGATCACAGTATTTTCCACGTGTCCCAATCATTTAGTCAATATCATTTCTCGGCAATTTTCTACTGTACAGTCCTATTTTATTCAACCAAAGTAGGGTACTAATTAACTTGTGAGTATTATTTGTAAGCGTGCAAAGTTAAATTCACTAATTTCGTTCCACTAAAACCGGTGTTAATCCCCTTTCCAAGTTGTTAGAAAGAACTATGTATTAGCTTTTAATTTATTATTTTATTTTTAAACCAGCAATAAAACTCACCTGATCTGATAACAGGGAGTGCGACAATAAGGACCTATCGATATATTCTAGTTAGCTTTCTCAGAAGGGTTGTAAATCCCATCACTATTTCTCCTCTTTTATTCGGTTTTGGGATAGACAATGACCCTAGAAGGGCCACAGGTGGAGTTTTGTTTTAATATGCTCTGTAGAAATTAATTTCTCAAAAAACTTCAAACTACTGCTGAGTAGCATAATTTCGCAAAGCAACTTAATGTTACATCAGGAGGAAATATAACTGGTTTCATATTCGTCAAATAAGTTTTGGGAAATTCTCAAATTGAAATATTTCATCCCAATGATCTTCAATGAGTTCAAACTTTATTATTCAATTTGTCAAAGTGTATGTCCTATTCGTGCTCATGAAGATCATTTCATGTACATTGTGCTGAAATTAAAATCAATATCATCTAGTTCACTTGTTGTTTCATACAACTAGTGATATTTTGAACGAGTCACACCCCACTCTACAATGAAATATCTAGATTTCCACTTCTATTTTTTATCTGCATGTTTCGAATTGTCTTGCTTAAGTAAATTTCTTCATGAAATGCTACGTATTATAAAAGTATTCTCCAAATGAATCTAAAATGCATTCACTCTTTTTATTAAAAAACGTACACCAGACTGTTCGTTGTTGCAGAGATGGAACAGTAGATATTTTTTAATCGGTGATCATAAAGTTAACCTTAGACGATAACTAAAGTTTTTTCTACCCTCCATATTTCATCTATGGCTGAGATGCTGTACGGCTCATATAAGAACGTTCTTTGCAATTTGAACGAATAGTTTCACAGTATTTGGGCACTGAGTTAATGTAATATATTAAGAAGGAAGAATATATTTGTCAAATCTTGAATATGAAGTATATCAAACGTTTCGTTCTGTAATATAGTCCAAGCTTTTTCACGGAAATATTTCCTTGAACGTCTTACTGTTTGGTTTGTTGATTTTATTGTATAGGATTTGAATACAGGATATTAGATTACGTAATAGGCAAAGTAAAACAAAATATATTACTTGTTGATTTATTGAACAGGTACGGACACGCATACATTTTGGCATAACGATGAACAAATACAACTTAACGTAAGAATCATTTGATTATTAATAATAATACAGCCAAATATACTTTATTTGTTACAATTTTATGGAACTGATGTATTAGCTAACATTTTACAAAGTTTTATTTCTAGTTTTATTATTCATAAAAACTAATAATGTTAGTCATAGAATGACTAAACATACTATGAAATTAAAATCTCAAGTCATACCATTTTACAACTTTCATTAAAATGATATACCGGTCCAAATCGAATCACCATTGAAAACGTGAAAGTATTGGATGACCGTCCAGATTGATTCATGATTTTAATGAAATTTAATGATCGTCAAATATTTATAATGAATATTTTATAACTTCGGAATCATACTTAATAGTGACTTTCAGGGGTTCTGTGTCATATTTTTAAACAAAACTCAATCACATTTTACTATAAATATACTAATTCCATATTTTCCAGCTCCATTTATAAAGACTTTTTAAACAATCGTCAAAATCTTTATTAAATGAGGAATATTTAATGCAAACAGTTTTCTTATTGAGGATACAGTCGTATTCATAAGTCATTTCTTACTTGAGGTAGTCTATAGTAAAATAGAAACGTTTTACAACATTATCAAAGATAATCAAATTTATTCAAATAGAAGTCAATGAAAACAAAAGGAGTGTTTCACAGTATACTCAAGATTATCGAAAGATTTCAAGTAATGAATATATATTAAATAATAGATGAAAAGATGTTATTTCAATGGAATTCTAGTTTTCAAATATCGAGTATAAAATAGGTTTGATCATTTAGCAATCTAATAAACGATTATCACTAAATAAAGTTATGTAGTAGTTTCAGAATTCATAAGAAATAATAATCAATAGGAGGCAGTAGTTAGCATCAATAATTTATAAAATTTGAAGAGGTGTTAGGATATTGGGAAAATAAGGAATAGAAAATGACTCTTATGTAAACAGAGGTCGCGCTTGAAATGGTGAATTGCTGTAGTCTCAACTGTGTGTAAATTCTTCCTTCAAACCAGTTCTGAGCTAATTTTTATAATTTTATGGAGGATTCGGAACGACAATTCACATGATGGAATGTGACTTGATTTGACCATGTGTTCAAGGACTGAGCTGTTAGTTGATTTACAATCCCATTTTAGATAGCTACACAGAGGAGTACTTGGATGTTTGTTTATCAAGTGAATACTTTGTGGGGTCAATATAACATGCTCCACAAGAGTAAGTAAACTGACAAATGCATATTGAGGTGATCCAAAGTAGTTTATCATTGACACCTCTCTGAATAAGTTTTTGATGGAGAAAACAATTCAAAGCTCTTCTAAATAAATTATCTTTCACAGGGATCTAGATATTTTCTACTTTAATATCTCAGCTGCCGTATCTCTCCTGATTTCAATGTTCAAGAATAAAACTTTCTTCGAAGCTGTGAGAATACTTTTGACTTGAAATTTTGGTTGCGGATTGTTATCAATGAATGGCTTCCCATCCAGGTGGGAAGCCATTCTCCAGAAATTTTCATTGAAATATATCACCAGTTAACCTAACTATAATTACGATTGCATTGTTTCGAAAAATAACTTCTTTGAAAATAAAATTTGCTTTATTGAAACATCTTTATTCTTTTAATAAATCAATGAACTTTTTTTATTCTCTAAATAATGAGAATTCTCACTAAGGTGATCAAGTACCTCTGATTAAAACGTTCAGTTTTTATTAAAATTGATGTTCAGTTATAAAACAGTTGGTTTAGTAATTATTTTATTCTGAGGAAAATTGATGGGAGCACTGTGATTACAAGAGAGCATATACTATACATTGATAGCTTATAAGGGTTATATTCATAATTTATTTATCTTTATAATTATTTAGTCTGTTTTATAGTTTTTAGAAATTAGGAACTGTATTATTTCATCACTTAGTGAGTTTATTAAGTATTTACCCAAAATATATAACGTTACAAAATACTTTTATTATCATTAATACTGATTAAATGTTAAATCCCAATTGCAAATTAAAGATCGACAGTACCAAAAAATTATTGATGATATAGACTATCTTTGATTTATGTTACACTTTTTTATCTATACTGATCAAAAAAATTTCAAAAAACTTAAATATCAGATGGGGTTTCGTGGAGATCGTAGTAATTGCAATATTTGAGATCATGAGTCAATTGGAGATAGATCACCATGGGAAACCTGGAAGCAGTGGACTGCCGTTTCGTCCTAGTATGGGACTCCTCAGCATTGCCCATTCATGATCCCGCCCCCCACGAGATTCGAACCCAGGACCTATCAGTCTCGCGAGCGAGCGGTTAACCACTCAATTGACTCATGATCTCAATTATTGAAATTACTACAATCTTCAAAAAACCAATTCTGATACTAATCGACATATGCTCACTAGTGACTGGCTTCAAGATATATATCCTGAAGTTCTAGTGAGAAGCAGTGACTAGTGAAGTTCAACCGGGTTAGTTGCGAGATAGCAACTCACTGAAGATAATGGTAGATGTGTCGCTCAATTTCGTAGATTAGTTGAAGTTAGATATTAACATTACTGGATGCCGGCTCAGTGGTCTAGTGGTTAAGCGCTCGCGCGCAAGACTGATAGGTCCTGAGTTTGAATCTCGCGGGGGGCGGTATCATGAATGAGCAATGCTGAGGAGTCCCATACTAGGACGAAACGGCCGTCCACTGCTTCCAGGTTTCCCATGATGATCTGGCTTCAATTGACACATGATCTCAAATACTGAAACTGTTAAATAATACAATTTTGTGAATCAATTAAAAATCTTCAACTATTTATTAGTCGAATATTATTTTTATATTTTAGAAAACTTCTAAAGAAGATTTACAAGAATATACTTTTACAATAATGAATCATAAAGGTGTATTATTTATCTTGACAAATATAAATCAAAATATACCAACATATAAACTTTGTATTGATGGTAATGAAATTCCATGTTTACGAAATGAATTACCGATTTCAGAGAAAAAATAAATAATAAATTTATTGTAGTTGTAATTTTTATGTTTATTAATTATATTTGATAGTTAATGGAAATATAACTGTATACCAAATAAAAGTTCCTTTTCTTCTTGCTCTTCTTCTTCTTCTTCTTCTTATTATTATTATTATTATTATTATTATTATTATTATTATTATCATGGTATACGAATATGGAACTTTATGAAGTTGTATTTGAATTATGGAAGTAGATTTGATTATTTTATTTTATTGTTCATATTGAGAAAAAATAGCTCTATGTAATGCTTACCAAATAGTAAGTACCATAGCACTTAATGTTTTATATTGATTACGTGTTCATCTATTATCAAGAAAGGCATTATCTTCTGAATAGAACAGTCCCATTTTATTTTATGAATTATTTTGTATCTATATACAACAGAAAGTTAAGACTAACAAATTTAAGAATACACTTTGATTATTAGGAAAATGGAGAAGATTTGCAATTCATAGGTTAATTTTCATGATGATAATCCTCAACTACAGAGCGTTTGATTGTTATCCAATCAACAAATCACAATATTGTTATAACTTGTTGTTTGAATGCTTATTGCCTTGGCTCTTTTAATGTTACTTTTAGTATCTGGTCTTCGCTGATTGTTATGTCGGAAACGCTTATCACTTATATTCAGAACGAGGGACCTCTGCAATTCCCACGACGCGAAAGTAAGAACACAAAGACTGGTATAAGTGATGATTTATTAACTACAAAACACGACAACAACGACTCTAGTAGAAAATACACTCATTTATATATTTATTATACACCCATCTTGATTAATAATTAGGTTGAAATCATATACTGAGCATAGTTCATGTCAATGGAATACAAGAATATCGCATATTACACAGAATAAAATGTCATACGAGAAAAGAAAACAAACACTACGTTGAGTAATCATTACATTGAATCAAAACGGAATTAATCTTGAACAAAACTCATAATGAGTAAATTAATCGAAAATCGACTTTTTTTCCATCATATCACCTCCCCTTCTTTTTTTGAAGACTTTTTGTTGAGATCCATCTTTAAATTTTATGACTTCATTCTTCCCCACGAAGTAATGTTGGCTCCTCATATTCCTAAGTTACAGTTAGTTTCACCTTGTTTAAAACATATTTCCCGCATTGAGTAGAGAGTAACAGTTTTTCGCGTTGAGTAAGCTGAATGACACGCATTAGGATCATTGCAATTTGATTAATTGTCAAGTATTTGTCGATTGGAATGTGCAGTTGTTGTTAGCCACTGAAAAGGGAATGAAGTAAATTTAGTAGATTTATTTAACATGTAAGAGTAGAGAAGTAATTTATATGACTTAATGGATTTATATCAGAATAACTAATTTTTCTTTCAGTTTTTTTCCAAGAAATGCTCCTTCTTGATTAATTCATATGAATATTGAGTAGAAAACAAGCTAAAACCTAATATCATTCCCAAGACAAAGAAATGACAATGAATATGTAGACGCTTTTATTGATTGAACATAAAACTCATGTATTGAGTCTGAACAATCAAAATATACATCACTCCACAATAAATTATTAGGTATGATCATATGTATGAAATCTTACACAATATATATATATAACTGCACATAAAATTCTGATCAAAATACGAATAAACGTGTGTTGATTGTATATGAAAGAAACATTTTTTAGAAGGCATCATATTTATCGACTAGGTGTACCATATGTAACCAAAATTATTCATAGATATATGTTAAAAACATGATTTTGTTTAAGCAAGATAAGAAATACAATGCTGATCAATCTATATTGAACGAAGATGCAATGTGATGAACTGGTTGCTATTTATATAATTGATAACATTGATAGAATACAATCACTGAAGTAGATTGACAGTCTTTAAGCTAACTTACAGTGAGGAAATGAAATTACTTTTTACTCACTAACTTACTTCAGTAGAAAAATCATCATTTATTTCAAACTTATGGATTATGATACAACCAAGCTGATTATAATTTAATATGGTAAGAACTTTTATTCAAACACCAAACTAGAAATATGAGTTTAAGGATTTCTACTGATGACTATGGCGCTCAGAGGTTAGTAATTATAATAATTTAGTTGAAGAAATATGAAAAATATCAATGCGTTAAGCTGTATGTGTTTGAATACATCTATAAAGGTTACCTATTGGAATTATGATCAATTTAATACTCATAATCAATACTGTTTGTACAATTAAATTAAAATATAAAATCAGTTTTCATCACAAACTGATTTCAGCTGATTAATCATTGAAAATTTGAGAACACTGGGCAGTTGTCACATCTTAGTTTGAAACTTCCCGGTGATTTTGTTTATCATCTTAACCAAGAACTGAGTAAGGACGATACTAATAATCCTTTTTATTTAGTATTCTATAAGTTAAAACTTTCAGTCGCATTCAATTTTTCATCAACAGTATCTAATCATCCTCACTTCTTCAATCAAAATCCATAAGTTTTACCAGAAAAATTGATACCCTTAGTAGATAAACAAATGACATATGATCGATAAAACATGACAAACGTAGGCCATCATTAGAACACATTAATTTTATTATTCTGTTCTGTAAAGATTATAAAAAAGCTATATTATTCGATATTTTAGTTATTTCAAAAGTATGAGTAAATATATTTTTATAGTTTGGTAAACTGAATGTTATGAGAAGCCTTAGAAATAAGTTGTTTATCCCATGGTAATCCTCGTTAAAATAAAACATTTTCATATATAGTGTTTGGATACTCGTTTAGGTTATTAGGTTAGACAAATGTCGTTTGTGTTTAATAAAAAATATTACTGAAGGTACTTATTCAATTTCCAATTGATTGCACCGAGGATAACAATGTAGAGAAGATGTTTACGTAGGATTAAAAATGATGATTTTGAAATCTGTACGCAGAGATTGTTTACTACCGGCATAAATGTTTAAATAGAAATGTGCGGAAGATTCTATTTATGTAGTTGATTGACATAATATTTTTATAACTCTGAGTGGACGATTTAATACACACCAATGTGATCTCAGTGTCAGTTTATTCATAACACTATTTTCACATGATAATACTCTGTAAGACATTGGTGGTAATTGTCTTGTGACAAAATGTACATGACATATAAGTACAAAAAAAGAAAAATGGTATGATCAGATAAGAACTCATCTAGTTTCGATCTAACTTGCATTGAATTACAAATTGTATGACGCCAATTATGATCTAGTGATTGAAACATAACGAATTCTACAGAATAAATTGGATTCGACTTCTGTTATTGAAGTCATTTATGAGGATAATCTAAAAAGTCGTTTACACAAACTAGACTGTGATATATACCACGTACTGATTGCTACCAAAAATTATAAATTGCTGGATTACAAATCATAGTGTGGAAAAGACCTTGGGATAATGAGTGATATCATGTGTGTATTTTTTTCACATGTCTGAAAGCGCCTAAACTATGATGCAGTTTTCATTTAGCTTTTAACAGTCCTTCTTACTTACTTGCTTACACCTGTTACTCCACGTGGAGGAGCATAAGGTGCCCTCAAGTACAACGGTTCTCCGCTCTACTATAAAAACCATATGCAATATCATAACTAAAATAATCTTTACTAACATATATGCTGGCCATAGTGACTACAAATATTTATGTAGATATAAATACTGTTCCATTAAATTATTATCGCTTTAATGCTGTCATTAATTTTAGCTAAAGACTAATTATTCAGATATTTCAGGAACATCAGTTAGTTTTAGCTCGAGCATATGATAAACGATAATAATTTAACTTAAGTATTAAAATAATATATGTCTTTAATAAACAAAACAGGTGAACTTCGTTATTGTAACCAAAGCGATCTTCATGAACACATAAAGCTTTCATGTAATTTATTAATATAGATGTGATTATATCAAAATGTCAACTACATTTATATCACATTCAAATTCTAACATGTTTATCTTTATCAACTAACTTTCATCTACTGATTCAGATACAATGTCAACCACGAAAATCTAATATAATTTAAAGATACAAAGTTCAAATTAAAATAATATTTCACTGGTTGAAGTCATGAGTCAATTGAAGCTAGACCACCATGGAAAACCTGGAAGCACTAGACGGCCATTTTGTCCTAGTATGGGACTCCTCAGCAGTGCGCATTCACGATCTCACTCCCCGCGAGATTCGAACCCAGGAACTATCAATCTCGCTCCGGGCGCTTAACCAACTAGACCACTGAGCCGGCATCCAGTGGTGTTAATGTCTAACTTCAACCAGTCCACGAAGTTGCGCCACCGTACGCCATTGTCTTCAGTGAGTTACTATCTCACAACAGACCTAGTTGAACTCCACTGGTAATGACTTCTCACTAGAACTCCAGGAGTATCTCCTGAAGTCAGTCACTAGTGAGCAGGTGACTATTATTATCAGAATGGGTTCGAATCTCGTGGGGGGCGGGTTCGTGGATGCGCACTGCTAAGGAGTCCCATACAAGGACGAAACGGCCATCCAGTGCTTCCAGGTTTTCCATGGTGGTCTAACTTCAATTGACTCATGACTTCAACCAGTGAAATTTCTAAAAAATCTCCACAAAACCCATTCTGATAATAAAATAATATTATTGTACTTCTACTTCAAATTCTTATATAGTGCTACGTTATACAATATTTTTCTTCAGTCTAACTACAGTTACTCAATAGAATATTCTGTTAATGCTAAATATCAGACAGGGAATTTTAAAGTCGTACAGTTTTAATAGTTCATCATTGTACTAATAATCGAGTAACATGAATTTATGGAGATAAACAACAATTTACATGCTTTTTTGGCAAATAATTACACATAAAATAAACTTAACTGATGTAACAATACTATAAAGAAAATTCCGGAAAACAAAAGTCATTTATCGAATATATTCGAAAATATTAAGATATTTCTTTGTAACATTCTTTATAAAGTATATTCAT